ATGATTTAATTTTTTTTTTTGTATTTGTCAAATATCGCTTTTTTTTTTTGTTTTCCTTCCTGTATTTCAACATGAATATTAGGATTTTGTTATGTATACTTGCAGAATGAGCATGGGTTGGGTGTTGCACAATAGGACCTCTAATTGGGATTATTTAAGCCCCGTTTATTTTACCAATTTGAGTTTTGCTACAGTAGAAAGCTCTTAAAAATAATTATATCTAACTTTTTACTATAGTAAAAAAATCTCACATATCAACTTAAATTAAAAACTTGAATTAGCGAGCTAAACAGTCTCTTAATATGGTAATATCAAATCTAAGTAGATTTTAAAAGAGAACACGTAAAGATATTTTTATCACTGCACCGTCCTATTGGTGATAACATTATGGAAACTGTTATCACATTCTTGAGGTCCGGAGGTAAAAGAATGATGGAATTATGGCGAAGGCGAGACGGGGAAACTCAAAAAAGAGCAAACAAACATATTTCAAATTTCATGTTCTTGTTACAATACTGAAAGTACCAATTGCTTAGTAAGTGATGTAACAGTTGACTCTCTAAATAACAATTTTGCTGAAATCACTAAAATGCATGCAGTCGTCATCATTTTAATGCCCTTCATGCAAAAGACAAAACAGCCATTAGTTACGGTACGGACAGTAATTTTTCTTTCATGAATTTTAGCCTCGTTCATTTCACCGATTCGAGTTTAGAATTCGAGTTTTGTTACAGTAAAAAGCTCTAAGAAATAATCACATCTAACTTTTTTGTTACAGTAAAAAACTCTCACATAAAATTACATCTCAACTCGAATTAAAAACTCGAATCAATAAACTAAACGAGTCCTTTATTCCCTTAGAAGATGATCATGGATATTCTTGTACCATTTTAAATTATGAGAAAATTACTGTAGTTACTTTTAAAGGTGCATGAATATGTATCTTTTATTATTTATTTTTAATTAATATTATTTTGATTAATATAATTATTTGATTAAAAAAAGATGTTAATATATTTTAAAGGGTATTTATGTCAGGACTCCATTTATTATCCACTATTGACTGGGATTTGGAAGTTTGAGATAAGGAAAGTGACGAATAAGAATCTCAGTGCTCTCTAGTCATGATCCTGTATATAGCACTCCACAGAGCATAAATTCCTTCTTATAACACTGATCAGTGATCATACATAACTATGTTTCGACTTTCCTGTTGGTTGGCAAATGGCGATCAATTCAACTGGTAATGATTGAAATTCTCGTCCTGAAACGCACATGCAGATTCTCAGAGGAAAAGAAAAACAACAAACAGATTATAATTGTATGTTTCAATTACAACATCCTTGACTTGAAGCTGGAATATTATATATATATATATATGTTTTACATGTTAGATAATGTACATACCAAAATTTAAAACAGAAAAAAGAAAAAAAAAAACGAGAAGCTCGAATTTTGAGTATCCAGAAGCATGCATGCCGTTTTAAGAACCCAGACTTATCTTTGTCACATGGGCCTGACTGAAAACGCAGAGTAATGATGGCTTTACATCGTTGGACTTCAAATTAACATACATGTAGACACACATGTGGCGTCTGACTCTCTGTTTTACGATATTCTGCGGTTCATTTATTTTACTGATTTAAATTTTATTATAATAAAAAATTCTTAAAAATAATTATATTTAATTTTTTTATTATAATAAAATTTTTTTACATAAAGTCACATATCAATTTAAATTAAAAACTTAAATTAACGAATTAAACAGGTCACATATGTCTTGCGGACTCAAATCATTTGTCTAACTTTAACGTTTAAGATGATATCTAACCAATTGTACAATGTCAAATTATTTAAAATAATTTTTAATTAATTTTATGATGCTTATTTATTAAATGATATGAAATAATGTGATTAGTTAAACACCATTTAATTAAAACATCTTAAATTAGACACATGATTTGAATTTATAAATTACTTATAAAAAAAGAAAATTAAGAAAGAAAGAAAATCATATTGGGTTACTAGATAATGTATTAAATTCATAGTGCCATTGTATAAGGTCAGTCATTGTTTAAAATACCTACTGTAATTCACTTAAGGAAATGATTTGAATATCAAACTCGTATGATGCTTCAGATTATCTTTTCCATTTGGGTGCATAGCTTTCCCAGCCAAAAAGTAATGATGAAATTATGATGCTATTTGAGTGTTGGTAAGTCGCAATTATGGTCATGGTATAGCCGCAATGAATAATTGTTTCACTGTTCTCCTTCCCATCCATTAGAGGTTCGATTTTGTAATTGACGTGTATGTATTATTGACAGAATGTATATACGTATTTAAGCGCTTCTTCATTTGGACCTAAACTAAAAACAAAAAATTTGAACTTGAGTTTGGGCTTAAAATCTGAATTCAAGTTCTTCTTTCAACTCAAGTTCTTAAACTCAAACTCAAGTTAATGAAAAATATTTTTTTTATTCTTAAAAACGCCATAACTTTTTCGTTTTAATTCCGATTGAAATGATTTTTTTCTATGTGTTCACAACGAATAGACGAATAAAATCCTACCATATACCTTATTAAAATTTTTCATCACCATTGAGTTTATATTAAAATAATATCCAAATATAAATTCAAGTTTTGACCCACCTTAACACAAACTCAAATAGATTCTTAATTCAAACTGTAAGTCAAAATGTGCACATCCAAACACAAACTCAAATTAGAGTCCCAACTCAAACCATACTCAAATATATTTTAACTCAAATTAAGATCTGAACTCAAGTCACACTAACTCAAAAAGTACAAATGAACAAACCCTAAGCAGTAATTTTTTTTTAAAGTTAAAAAAAAAGAAAAAAACACATATACTTACACATAAAACAGGACTGGACGATGAGCTAATTAAAGTTGAATATATATTTAAGCTAGAATTTAAAATGCAGGATTCTGTTCTTCAAAAAAAAAAAAAAAAGTAGGATTCTGAAATCTGAACTCCCGTAAAATTTCTATGTGATGAATGACGATAACATGTCGTCATTACTATAAAATGGGTGCTTGGATTTCGAAATAATTCAACTTCTATTATATGAATTTCAAGCAACTCCTTATAACTGATTAGATACTCTGCACGTGGAGAAACTGAAACCTGCTCTGGATAGTCACGGCAGGGTTCATGTCTAAGCGTTCAGATTTCAGAACCGAAAAAAAAAAAAAAAAAAAAAAGGCATCTTCTCATCCGTGTGTCCGTTTATAATTTGTCTTCTATATACAGCATATGTTTATCCACACAATGCAAACTTGCAAAGAACAAGAAGAAAAAAACGGAGGGCCAGTACTGAATATCGATAAAACTGTTATACAATTGGTGTGCTGGAGATTCCCTCTTTTTACCTAAGCTTCTAACCAAACCACATTTTTATTTAACATAGACACTAAACACACTAAAAGTACGACTATAAAAGTCTATATAATATTGGAGACGTATTATTTATAGACATATTTAATATCGATCAACACCACAACTAACAGTAAGTGAATTTTATTTGTGAATTTCACAACGTAAGACCATGTCTTTTTTAAGGTGTGGTACGCGTCCTTTAGTATTATTTTGCTGAAAAAGATTATGTTAATTTTCGTAGCACCATTTTGTTGGAGTATTTCTATTTGTTCTCGTAAGGTAAAAACCTTACTCTGATGTGTCAAAGGACTACTTTCCAACTCTCTTTTAAAAAAAAACGGAGAATATCCACAAATAAATACATGTCGAGTTGGTTTTGAATAGCAATAGGGTTGCATAGCATTTTCCATTTTGTTGTTACCGAAAACCTTTAAAAAAAAAATAAGAGTTGATATTAATAATGATTGTGCCACAGACTTCTGAATGAAAGGGCTAAACATGTGTATAAAGAATATCGATAAAGAGACTGAATTCGCCTGCTCATATGAATCGGAATTAGCTAAACACATGTACGGTCGAATGCACCGTATCATGACACTTCCTCGTTTTATACAAAATTTTCCACTAACCTCCGAAAATCAACAATATCCTAATCTAAATTAAGTGGAAAGTTTCTTTGGTAGGACAAAAAAAAAAATGAATTACTGACAGTTTTTTATTTTTTCAATTGTTAGATCTGTATAAAAAAATTATTTGATCTGCATATTTTTTTAATCTAATGTGATTTTTATTAAATTTAACGGTTAAAAACTGACTCTACTGGTAAGCCGTGCATCAAAGTTATTTAGAATCCAACAACATGCAAATTTAACATCATGTGACCAATATTAACCATAATTTTTAAGTTTCTCTGAAACAAAATAATTTTTTCCCCCAATTATTTGGGCCCCAGAACCAAATTGAGGAGTTAGGTCCCAAACTCCACTTCCTTTCATGGGAGCTGTTTGAAGTGGGTTCTTCTTATCCTCTGCATTTCAGTAATCTTCCTACAAAAATAACAGTAAGATAAGAAAAATAGAAGAAGGGTATTGTGGGGTTTGCCATTATTAATGTTGTAAGTACAAAGTTATGCCCTGGCCTCTAGACGACGAATAACACAGAAAAAAGAAGAAGAAGATGATGATAATGATGAGGCACAGAATTCTATGACTATAGGGGACATCGATCATGTGCTTCATAAGGGGCCAAATATTTGTCCATTTCCTGACAAGAAAGAAGAATCTAGCCCCAATCACTGAAATCATGCGTGTTTTCCCACTTTTTGGTTTTTTGGGTTGTAGCAGTAGTACCACTTTTTCTATTTCCTTTTCCAATTCCTTTAACACAAAAATTCATGTCAGTCTTTTTTTTTTTTTTTTTTTTCTTTTTTTTTTTTTTTTTTTTTTTTAAATTTGACTGATCCAGCTAGTTTCGTGTTTTTTTCCCCCCCTTATCGATCGTCATGATCATTTCAATTTTCCGGCCCCACTAAGATCACGGAACATGTAACAATACCCAAATTGATTCTTGTGTATTTAATAAGTTTGGATAACAGATTTTTCACAGTAAAGAGTGTTGGAGAAAAGAGAGAAGTCTCAACATCTTGCTAAACATCTCTTTCTCTCTCGTAGCTAGCTTTGATCAATAGACTTTTCTTAAATTAAACACAAAAACAAGAAAAAATTGGTAAAATGCCAATGGAAAAATCGAGTCAACGACCGAAAAAAGAAAACAATAGAGGAGCTTGGACAGCAGAGGAAGACCAAAAGCTTGCTCAGGTTATCGAACTCCATGGTCCACGGAAGTGGAAGTCTCTTGCCGCCAAAGCAGGTTTTTACAAGTTAACTAGCTTTCAATATTACAAAAATGTAAAGCCTAAGATTTTCATTTCTTGTTTTTTGGTTCTTTGACGTTAAAGTTTGATTGGGTTCATGTTATTGTTTGCAGGTTTGAATCGATGTGGGAAGAGTTGCAGGTTGAGATGGATGAATTATCTGAGACCAAACATTAAGAGAGGCAATATCTCACACCAAGAAGAGGACTTGATACTCAGGCTTCACAAACTACTAGGAAACAGGTAAAAGCTTGTGCTTGCCCTGGTCTCTAGATCTATTCGCCCATTTTCTGTTTTTATTCGTAGAGAAATATTTGCTGAAATGACAATATTTTTTCGAATGAAGGTTTCTGTTGAAGTAATTTTGCAAATCTTTATTCGAAATCTAACGTTTCTTAATTATTTTTGTTGCTCGTGGGATTGCCAATTTAGGTGGTCCCTGATTGCGGGAAGACTACCGGGTCGAACTGACAATGAGATAAAGAACTACTGGAACTCTCATTTGGGCAAAAAGATGAAGCAAATGGAGAGACAAAATAGGAGTTTAACAGCATTGGAATCTAAGCTGCCTGAGAATACCAAGGTGGTTATTAAGCAAGTGGATGAGCCAAAAGGAAGCGAAGAGGGAACTTCAAAAGGGATAAGTAAGGAGATTACTCCAAATTCTAGCTTTCTAGGGGATGAGATTTTTGCATATTACTCTAGTGAAGAGCCTCTGAATTTGGAGTGGATGGGCAATTTCCTTGAGATGGACGAGAGTTGGTTTTAGTTCTGTGCTTGTCCTCTCTCGAAGTCGAACTAATTAATTTTAATTTTTTTTTTCTTTTCTCTTGGTTTGGTTCTAGACTCTAGACTCTAGTTATGCATGCAAGGCCGAAAATCACATGTTTTAGGGTGTTTCTTTCTTTTACACTTTTTAGGTTCTTTTGGCCGAAAATACCAAATTTTAGGGTGCTGCCTTTTTTTCTTTTTTTTTTCCCCTCCTTTTAGGTTCTTCTGTCTGTCCAAAAGTGGTTTGAAGTTTGTCGGTGACTTTGCAAAGAATCTGTTTGTGTAGTCTTTCTTTTGATTCCCTTTCGGTTGTTTGTATTATGAAATGAAAATGACATGCTATAAATGCAGCTTTATCATTTACAAATTGTGAGCCATATATATATATATATGGTGCTCAAATGTACTGTGATAGGAAACTATTTCGCCATGCTTAACCTAAAAAAAAAAAAAAATACAATGGTATTCATCCTCACGAAAAATAAAGCTCTACGCTTATAAATTAGTAGTGAGTCTCGTCTAGCCACTTAGTGGGACCTACCTCAGGTAAGTAGTGGGGGGTTTAACCCTATAGAGATGAATAAAGTAGGGGTGTTCGGCGGTTAAAAACCGTCAGTTTTAATCAGTTCGGTGGCCGAACCGATCATGTCAGTTTCTAAAAATTAGGAACCGAAACCGAACCGCAAAAGTACTATTCGGTTTCGGTCAGTTTTCAATTTTGATAATCATGATGGTGACCATCAGTTAACCATCAAGTGAAACGACATCACACTCCACAAAATGAGAAAATAAAAAAAAAATGACAACAAAATATAAAACGACATAGCAATAAAACACAAAATCAATGAAACGACATCATAAGCAATAAAACGACAACAACACAAAAAGTTAATTAATTAAGTCAGTTGGTTTGGTTATAAACCGGACATCAAGGGCCTAAACCAAAATCGAACCGCCTTGAAGCCTTTTCGGTGAACCGACTTTATCGGTTCCACGTGGCACCATATTTTTTGGTTTTTAAGCGGTTGATTTCTCAGGCGGTGGTAATCAGTTTCGGTTTTACGATTTTTTTGTACAGTCCTAGAATAATATCCTTAAAAGAAAAATATTGATATAAATCACGCAGAAAATTCATTAAGAAACTGTTCAATATCTCAAGTATAACGGGGATGGGCCAGGATTCCCAATGAGTGAGGTGTGCGCGGTAAAGAGCAGACAAGAATGTGTAATCATAGAAGGTGCAAAAGGGACATAACTTTCTTAGGTTTAAGGCATCCTCCAAAGTGAGGAACATGACAAAGATTAAAAAAAAAAAAAAAAGTCTGATAAATGATATGGTTGGGCTTACCCACTTTAACATGTTAGACAAATTTCAAGTTATTTATTTTTTTTATCTTTTTATAAGAGAAAAGTGACATCGCGTCTCATGGCTTTCCTATTTTGAGATACTATTATACCTAATTGGATTCGTTTATTGTGCTTGGAGAAAAATTCCCAGTAACATTGTTGAAGTACGATATTTTCAATTTTTAATGTCCAAGCTTGTAAATTTCACAATATCATGCAAATTTTAAAGCTTCCAGTTTTAATTAGTGTTGTGAATTACGTACCTTAAAAAAAAAAAAAAGCGATATACTTCACACCCAACACAATTTATACTTGCATTTTGTTGAAATCTTTTATGGCTGACAACATAAAATCACGCCTGATATATATATATATATGAGCCCTCAACCCTTTTGCTTTGTAGAAAATTAACTAGGCAACATCATTAATCACATAAAATACAAAATATCCAACGTTACAGTGGAGTTTATTAAGTACAAATATTTAATATTCATGAAAATGCTCAACTTAACCAATACAAATCCTGAGTTTCCATGCATAAAAAGATGACACATCACTGATAATCAGATTCAGAGTCGGTGTAGTATAACAGGAGCTCCGTACTGGGGCTGAAGAGTAATGACCGTGCGAGGAGCGTGAGTGTATGAAGGGGATAGCTCAAACGAAAAGTGTTGGAGAATCATGGCCAGCGCCATCTTTGCTTCGATCATGGCGAAGCTTTGTCCAAGGCATCTTCTTGGGCCCCACCCAAATGGATAGAATGCCGTCAGACTGTAATCAATTGTATCCTTTGATGTTGATCTTGCAACCCCTTCCGAGAACCTCTCCGGATTGAATTCCTCCACGTCATCACCCCATGACATTGGGTCGTGATGAATGGAGAGCATCAATAGTAATGTTTCTATCCCTTCTGGAATGGTCATTCCTCCATTAATGCTGATTTTTCTTTTGGTATAGCGAGAGAGATTACACACGGAAGGGTACAACCTCATAACTTCATTCAATATCATCGCTACCTGCATTTTCACGCACAATAAGCATATTATACTTTTAATAAACCTTTCAGAAAGAAAGGAAAAAAATATATTAAGGCCGTTTAGTTTACTGATTTGAGATTTTAATTCGAGTTGAGATGTGATTTTATGTGAGAGCTCTTTACTATAGTAAAAAAGTTAAATATGACTGTTTCTGAGAGCTTTTTACTGTAATAAAACTCAAATTTTAAATTCGAATCGGTAAAATGAACGGGGCTTAAAAATATTGAATTACCAATAATATTAAACTAAGCTTTCGTAATTAATAAACTGCTATATATTGGCCTTCGGACCGAAAGTGTGCAAGTACGCATAACATGACATTTGTTTGAAGTGCCAATAATTTTAAAAATGTGCAATATATACTAGCTAGTTTGTTATAATAAATTGTTTTTTGCTGTATTTTTTTTTATAGTAATTGTTACAAGTGTGGTCATGTTTCATCCTCTATTTCATTCTAAATGTGCGTGCATAGTACTGTTCAATGCTTTTTCATGAAGGACTGTAACCTCAACTTGTATAAGATTGATAATTCATCGTCTTATGATTCTTATTTATTTCGCCGATTCGAATTTAAAATTTGAGTTTTGTTACAGTAAAAAGCTCTTAGAAATAGTCACATCTAACTTTTTTACTACAGTAAAAAGTTCTCACATAAAGTCACATTTCAACTCGAATTAAAAACTCGAATCAGCGAACTAAACGAACCTTACATGTAAATTCATGAATATATGTATATATATATATATATAATAAAAACGAAAAAGCTTATATAGATGCATATATGTCAATATTATTTTAAGGGGAAAAGGCACATACAATCTTGAAGTGAGAAATGGCTTCAAAATCAGGGGATTTCTTTCCACACATCCGAAGAACCTCTTCCCTTGCCTTCTCTTGCCAATTCGGGTGCATAGATAAAAGGATCATCGTCCACGTCAGCAGATTGGAGGTAGTTTCTTGGCCAGCAAAGTAGAACAACTTGCACTCCTCTATCACCTCTTCAATTGTCATAGAATTGTTGGATTGTTCTTTGCATTTTAGTAGTAAACCCAGCAAATCAGTGGCACCCAATTCTGGCCTATTATGGATAATTTCTTTCTCTTTTTTGCGTATAATGTCCCTTAACATTGTTTTGATCTCATTGTCTAATTTATACCTTCTCTTATTCTTTCTTGTCGGTACAAACCTGCACAGATTAATTAGCATAAAAAAAGAGATATATAAAAATTTAATTTTTAATCAATTGGAGTACTGATCAATAGGAGTTTATTTTAATAATTAAGTGACGCTAATTTGTTAATTAGAGGAAAATCCTAATTAGTACGAAATATCCAATGGAATACTAATTGTGCACCTGAGACCTGGGATGTAGAGGTTATAATAAGCTTCAATCACCAAAACAGCTTGCTCTTTTTGCAGTTCAAATATTTTCTTTCCCTCCCCGAAACTGCTTCCAAAAGCTGTTCGAGAAATAACATCGCACGTAATATTTTGAAATTCTGGTGCTACATCCACTTCACAAGATCCTTCAGGAGTAGCCAATTTTATCCATCGATCAATAAAGTTGGAGCAACTAGTTGAAAACGCAGGCATCATTCCCTTATTATTATCAAGAAACGACAACAAAAAATGATCATTTTGAGAAGCAAAAAAAAAAAAAAAACATTGAAAATAATAATAATTTTTTTTTTTAGATTTTTGCTTTTGTCATGGAGCAATGTTATGGATGTACTAAATTAATTTTTTATATTTTGGATATATATTTTCCATACGGGATCACTTTTTATGATTATTAAAGTATTGTTGTATGTTGAGGAAGATATTGGGATTCCGTAGCAGGATAAAAAAAAAAAAAAAAAAAAAATTTGCATATTGTGATGATACAATTTGGCGTTAAGACATTATACTATACTAATACGTACGTCTCCTCTATCACATAAGAATATATGCACAAAATTGTTTATCAAACTTTAATATTTAAATGCCACTTGAGCAACCTGATGTATGTGGTTGAATGAGTGAATGCGTGCTTATATTCACTAAAATTTAATGGTTTTATTTCTAATGAAAAAGAGTGAGTCACAGGCCCACATCGTACTAAAAAAATATTTTATATTTAAGTGATGTGACAATACACTTGTCAATACCTAAAGGGTCAAACAAAATATACATAAGTAGATAACCCAAACACCATTTACAAATTATATAGTCTAACTAATTAGTTAATACATCGTTTGATATTTACAACATTTCACATACAATTTGATACCCATTGCACTATTCATCAGAGAAATTTTGGAAGATATGTTTGTATTTTAATTCTATGTAGTGAGGCTACAGTTTGTGGAAGGAGGAAGTACGTGGATATGTTAAAGTTTTTTTTTTTTTTTTTTTTTTCTTTTTTTGTTATGTGTGTTCGAGTGAATAAAAATAGTATTTATTCCCGTGAGTATAAAACTCCACACTCATAAAGCGGTGGTGGTGGGTCTCACTAAATTGAGACTCACGGCCTATTTACTTAAGGCCTGAATTCACTTCTTGTGAGTAGTAAAAATTTTAACCTCATGATTCATGAGGATGATCAATAAGTTTGTTTGGTACGAAGATTCAAATCAGAGTGATTCTAATCTTGATTCTGAAACTAGAACCATGATTCATGATTTTAAGTTCAAATCGTGATTCTGAAACCATAATTCAGAATCAGGGATTTGAATCGTCTTGAATCAAGAGTGGAGTGATTTTAGAATCATAAGTGATTCTGGTTTAAAACATCACATCAGATTCTGAATCATGATTCAGAATCACTATAAACAAATACTAATTTTAAATTATAATTTAAAATTACGATTCTAAATCTATCTACCAAACACCTCCTTGAGTGAAAGATCTTTGGCAACAATACCTTTAACTTGTCAAGATGGAAAGCAGGTGTAATTTGCCTCCTGCGTTTCGCCCATTGCTCTCCGTCTAAGGATGATACTCCTCTTTGAAGCATATGAACAAGAGGGTTCTGTGGTGGCTTCACGAAATCATTCTTCTTATCTCCTAATATCATCCTGATTAGCTCTGGGTCCCCTATTATCAACCTCGGCTTCGTTCCAATCCAAGTCATACTCACTTTTCCTGAAGTTCAATACAATTGTTCTTTCCAAATATCATCATAAAGACTCCGAAAACAACCCAATAAAATTGACCTTCTGAGAATACAAATTTGGAATGAGAATTTTACTGTAAGGTATTAAAAAGTGGTTTATTAGTAAAGTTGCGTTTTAAACCATAAGATCCGTATCAAGTTCTGTTACTTTGTATAAATTCTCTCTCTTTTTTTTTATTTGATATAGTTTTTATTAGGATTAATATATGGAAACATGCACTGAAAGCTCCAAATCAGAAGTACTAGAAAGAAAAGGAGAAGTTATAATATTACTGATCGAAATTTTGGGTACCATATTTCTGCATCATGTCGTAAAAGAAAGGGAAGACACGTGGCGTGATGTGGTGGTTCAGCGACATAGGCTTGGACTGTGCTTCCAGGATGGACCGTCTGATCTCTGCCATGTCACCACGCAAAAACTTGTAGGAAGTCCCTCTGATCCCTTGTCTCCTTAAAACCTTCTCTAAGTAATTTGGTCTCCACCAAACAACGTATGCAACTCTTAGAACAGCATAAAGAATCAGCAACACAGAAGATAATACCACGATTTCGAAAAGGTATTTTCCCATGTTTTAGTTTTATGCTAAGAATAAGAAATTAGTGATTCAGCTTGATTAGATTGGGTATTAATGAACTGACCATGAACTTCTAGGACTTAAATTGGATTTTTATTTTTATTTTTAATTAAGCCTTTTGGTTTTATTTAAACTTAAGATATGATATTTATCGTCGAAGTTAACCTCTCCCTTTCATTACAAAACATGTGACATTTTTTTAATCAATATGTGTTTAATTTTTTTTTAAAATCCTTAAAGAAAAAAGAGAAATGATTATATATATAAAACATTATCTTCTCATCAAGTCTTTCAATTGCTTTAGTTTATCTACGCGCTACGTCCTATGCAAAGGAAATTTAGCTATATATATATATATATACATATAGTAACAAGTACTAGTCTCATTTGTATATGAAAAGTTGCATTACAGAAGTTAAATATGCTTGTACGTACATCGTGAAATTAAATTTATATAGAACTTCTAATTTAACCATCACATGTACTAAAAATTAAGCTTAGATATAATTTCTTAATATAAGTCCAGGGACACTACCGTATTTTTACAATGGAATCTTTCATAGAACACATGAGTTGATTGTATTATATTTCATCTCCGTGTATATATATACTAAAGAATATGGTCGGTCGACTTATGAGAAACAATATACAAGAAAGGTTGGTAATTTGTCCTTTCAATGCTTGGGAAATATTGCTCTCTAGCTAGTACAATAATAATGGTAATGATGGCTCTACTAATAATTTAAAACTCGCATGATTAATTATGGTGACTTCATTAAGCTTTCTCTGTCGAATTATTATTAAGCTTGTTTTTCTTTATTTTTAATTATTGTTTTCGTCCACTATGATCTCTTTAATAATTATTAATTAACCTAAGCCTTTCTCATTCCTTTTAACGTGTGGATTATTTGCAAGTAAACAAATGATAAGATGAAAAAGAGGCTCAGTCCTCCTTTTCCTTTTCATTTTCATGGGAAGTAATAGTGCCCTTAATAGGGAGGAGGAAAAGTGGAAAAGGCTGGGAGAGAGGATCAAGGGCTGGGATTAGTAAAAAGATTTTGATACTTAAAGTCTCGTTCAGTTCGCCGATTTGAGTTTTTAATTCGAGTTGAGATCTGATTTTATGTGAGAGCTTTTAACTATAGTAGAAAACGTTAGAGATGACTTTTTGTGAGAGCTTTTAACTGTAGCAAAATTGGAATTGAAAACTCGAATCGGTGAAATGAATGAAGCCTAAATGTTGTTTTGCGGGAAAGAAAAGATGAGTGAATGTGGGGAAGGATTTCAAATCCTTTAAAATGCCCCAATTTTAGTCTCTCCAAATATGAGGATCATAGAGAAGTAAATCCATAGACAAACATGTTAAAAAGAGAAATGTTCATCTCTTCCTATATCTATTTGCTTACCTAAATTATTCGTCTTTCTTTTATTCCTTACAAAATACAACCTTAATGTTTAGATCTAAAATTTAATTCCACAATTCTAAATTTAAAAAAAAAAAAGAGAGAGATTGAGAAAATTGTGGGGCAAATTATAATTAGAGGACTGATATACTATTTCGTTTCTAAAATCTAATGACAGATCTAGCAATAAATTAACGATAAATGAGATAAAAGCTTTATTCCATAAAAGTAATTGGATACAAAAACCTGTCGACAATTTATTTATAAGATAATACGATCAAGACCAACTCTAACATGTAAACTCATTATATATATTTCGCCTAATTTGCACACTCCGTCGTTCTTATATATATATATATATATATGCGCGCGCGTACGTATTATGATGACAGACGATGTAGTATAAGGGGAGCTCCGTGCTGTGGGCAAAGAGTAAGGCCAACGCAAGGGGCATGAGCGTATAAAGGAGAAAGCTCAAAGGAAAAATGTCGGAGAATCATAGCTAGAGCCATCTTGACTTCAATCATGGCAAAGTTTTGGCCAAGGCATACCCTTGGGCCCCACCCAAAAGGATAGAACGCCGTCTGATTACAATCATATTCCTTTGATGATGATCTCGCAACTCCCTTCGAGAATCTCTGCGGATTGAATTCTTTCGCGTCGCCGCCCCAACATTTTGGGTCGACGTGAAGAGAGAGCACCAATAGCAATGCCTCAACCCCAGCTGGAATGGAGAATTCTCCGATTCTGGTCACTTGTTTTGTGTACCGAAGGAGAAGCGTCAATGGTGGATATAACCTTAGAACTTCATTCAATATCATTGTTACCTGCAAAACAGATTTCATAGATATTCTTTTACTTGAGTGAGTTACAATGCACGTACATGTGTTCAAATTTAATTAGGACAAACCATGCATATTTCTTTTGAGAAATGACCAAATTTTTTATAGTTACAAAAATAATTAACCTGAGTTAGAGTGAATAGTGTATTTACTTGAGTAAAATATTTGATTTCCAAGGCAACAATTTATGATTTATGGAGTAAATAATTGATTTACAAAGATAAATGGTTTTTTTGATAGAGATTAATTTGTGTAAATATGTTTAAAGAATTCTTTAGTAGGGTATGGAAAAATATCATACTGTCAGGACTATATTTCAAAAAGTAATATACTCAAATCAACTCTTATAGTACTAACTGATGTAGCATATGTGTTTTTATTTTTTTATTAGTAGATTCAATTTTTTATCGTTAATATTGAGGTGATAATGTTTTAGTTAAACACCCGTCAATATAAAAATGATAATTCATATATTACATCAGTTGACACACAATAATTAGAATTTAAGTTGGTATCATTAGTATTATTCAATCTTTGGATTTTACATGAGATTTTGGCATTTTATATTTTTTAATTTTAATATGATTTTGATGAGATGTAACATACTTCATTAACGTTGAAAGCTCTATATATTGTATTAAAGTGGCTGATCTGATCTCTTTTAGCAGAATTAGTTTTTTTTTTTCCTACGAATTTAGCAGAACTACTAATATTATGAGGGGTACGAATTATTAGTTAACTGTGGACCACTTACAATCTTGAGGTGATTGATGGCGTTAAAGTGGGGGGTTTTGTTTCCACACAACTGTAGGACCTCTTCTCTTGCCTTTTCTTGCCAACTGGGATGCAGAGATAATACAACCATGGTCCACGTCAGCAGGCTGGCAGAGGTCTCTTGGCCAGCAATGTAGAACAGTTTGCACTCCTCAATGATGTCGTCAATAGTCATCGAATTATGATCACCAGACCCGTCTTTGCACTGTAAAAGCAAGCCCAGTAAATCCACACCACCACCACCCATTTCTTTATTCTGCATGACTTGCTGTTTCTTTTGGATGAGATCGCGCAATATTGATTTGATTTCGCTGTCCAATTTGTATCTTCTCCTGTTCTTTCTTGTAGGTACGAATCTGCATAAAGATTTTTTTAAAAAAGAAAAAGATAGTGGACTCATTTCTTTTTTTTAGACGGTTTGGTCCAGTGAGATCGGAAATTTTAAAGAGGTTGCAGATTCGATCCCGCTTTATATATACAAATAAAAGATATATATATATATATATATATATATATATATTGAAGGCATAACTTTGTATTTGAGCCTATAACACTGATTTGAGGGATACTAACTTACCTTAATCCTGGGATGTAGAATATGTTTTAATAGGCTTCAAGAACCAAAACAGTTTGCTCTTTTTGCAGTTGAAACAATTTCTTTCCTTCTTCGTAATTACTTCCAAATGCTGTTCGTGCAATAACATCGGTGGTAAGAATTTGGAATTCAGGCGCTACATCTACTTCCCCTGTTCCTTGAGGATTACTAGTCAATTTTTTCCATCCGTCAATCAGGATAGAACAGCTTTCTGATATCGCCGGCAACATTCCCTGTTAATTATATATGATTGGAATCAAATTCAATTAATCAATTCATTAGTATTCAATTAGCGTATAATAATTAAACCTTTAACTTGTCAAGGTGGAAAGCAGGTGTCATCAGCCTTCTGCGATTGACCCATTTTTCTCCTTCTAAGCTTGAGATTCCTCGTTGAAGAAGATTGACTAGAGGGTTCTGTGGTGTCTTTATAAAGTGACCATTCTTGTCCATTAATATCAATCTGATCAGCTCCGAGTCCCCTATTATCAGCCTTGGTCTGGTTTCAGTCCAACACACACACAATTTTCCTAATAACCAAATTCAAATTATTGTTCCAACAATGACACATGATCACACCAGTATTATTAATATGCCAAAAATAATATTATATGTGTGTGTATATATATATATATATACACGTTTGGTTAGAAGATTCAAACTATGATTTGAATCATGAATCATGATTCATTATAGTGTTTTTTCTCACAAAAAATACACGTAAATTAAAAATAATTCTAATCATATGATTCTAATCTATGAATCAAACGTCTCCTAAATTCTCACCATATCTTTGGACCATGTCGTAAAAGAATGGTAAGGCACGTGGTGCAATGTGGTGGGTCTGCAGGGGCATGGGTTTTGACAATGCTTCCACGGTGGACCTTCTCATCTCTCCCATGTCACCACGTAGAAGCTTGAATGAAGTGCCTCTTATCCCTTGCCGCCTCAAAAGCTTTTCTAAGTAAATTGGTCTCCACCAAATTTTGTAGATAATTATAAAAACACAATACAGAATTGGAGACAGTGCTAGTGAGCAGATTACAAAGGTTTCAGAAAGGTGAGTTTCCATGTTTATTATAATTTGCAACAAAATTAACTATTTGCACGTAGTAAGTTGAGCTCGATAAGTTGATTGGACAAACAAAGAAAAGGTCCTTGTGTATTTATAGAACTTGAATTATTGTTTTCGTTTATAGTTTAACGGAACAGAAGTATTCAACTAATATGTTTGACATTTTTTTTTCAATGGGTTCTAGTAGTATAATACTGTGCAACACAATTCATGATGGTCAAGACCATGGTGATTCTTTGGGTGATTTTTGATCTCATAAAGTGAGGTTTGACGATTATAAGTCAGCAAAATCATCGGTGGAGATA